GCGCAGTCGAATTCGCGCGAAAAGAGGATAATCTATCTGACGACGTTCTTTCCCGCGGGATTCGAAGTACTTTTCTTTCACCGATCAACTAAACCTCTGACAATTCTAAACCGACCGATCGCATCACCGACGTTTGCGAAATTATCAAGCCCGTTTTCTAACATTACTCGCATTCTGCCTTTATTTTAATTTTATTAATAATTAATATCGATCTTTTCTCGAAATCTGTTTTCCTCGCTAATTCATCGTTTACGATTAATTTATCATCTCTCAAACCATCCAAAAGTTTAGATGTGATAAAAGATATATATTCACGTGGGTAGAGAATTCCGTGTTTGTTTCTTGCGAAATTTCTCTTGTACCGCGAGATCGAGGGGGAGGGGGGGGAAGAGAGAAGGAAAGAGGGAAGAGTCTTTCTTTCGCATTTACCGCCATTTACATTTGAAACCTGATCGTTTTTTTCTTTTTAAAGCAAGCGGCCGCATGTGACATCCTCATCTTCTAGCTCACGCTCGCTGTTTCTCGATATTACGATTATATAGGGCAGATGCAATTAAAGCGTGGCTTTTTTTTGCGCACATTCGTCGTATCACGCGGACTATGACGGTTACGCGCGTTGGCGCGTCCACCGGAGTTCGGATTCGCTTCTGATTTAGCGCGCCGCGCCGCATTTCTTTTTCGGCGGCCGCGTCTAATCTGGTTTCCCCTTCGCGAATCGCGAAGGCCGCGCGCCTCGCCGTTTTTCTCCGTTCCCGGTGGCATCGAGAGCCCCTGGGTTAATTCTCGGCACAATGATCGTAAAACATATCCCGAGGATAGAAAACAATGGTAATCCCGGGGCTGTCGGCGCGACAACAATTCCGTTTGGCCATTCCTGTCTGGGCCTCGCGGGAATTTCACCGGTTTCAGAATTCGCATCCGAATTGGTCGTGTTTCCCTTTTTTCATTATCGCGACGAAGAGTACTTATTTAACGTATGCTACCGTGAATAAAATTATCAAGACACTTCACTTTGACATTGCATCAAAAGTAATCAATGAATTACAAACTGTCTTGATTTTTTCGAAAATATATAACATATAGCTAAGAAATTAAATCGCGTTATGTTTGCTAGAGTGACATTAGTATTATATTATTTATCAAACATATTAAGAATTGAAACTATTTTTTTTTTTCGAAATATTGAATAAGAGAATAAATGATATTTTCCAGTATCAAACTATAAAAATTCCTAAAATTCCTAAAATAACGCTCAATATTTGCGTAACCACGTTCGGTTCTCCGCCAGTTGGAGAACGGCGGTTGAACGCGGGTCAAACATGACACGACGATTAATGCAGACAACGAGTAGATTTTATAACAGATAATAATACGAACGAAATTTTATTGAATGATAAACAACGGGCAAAAAATTTGTACGACCGACGCCCATCTCGGCCGAATTCACCGTGCCTCCCCCTTCTTCTCTTTATACGGCCGCTTTTTTTCCCCCTCGAAAAGCGCTGGACCGGTCGCGCACCGTTGTCCATAGAGAACGCGCGGATTTGTGACGACGATGACGGCGATGACGACGACGGCGACGACGATGATGACGATGGGGACGGGAATCCGGGCAGCCGCGCGAGCCTTCGGGGGTACCGCCGCGATGGGATCAGGTTTTTCTCGCCGTCGCGACGCGCCTCTCCGCCTCCGGGCCGCGTTCGCGTTCCCGGCCGACAAAAACGAGCCACCCCGTGCCAAAAAAGTCGTTATGTAAATGCGCCGCGAGAGCCCGGCCTAGAGCCCGCGCGCACCGTTCTGTCGGTCACAGGTATACAGGGTGAGCCGCGCGACTCGAATCGACAACCGATGACGATTTCCAGCTCGAAGGATGACCGGGAAATGGAAAAAACCTGACGACCTGAATAATCCAACTTGAATTATCCAACGACGAATTTTGCGCGCACGTATAAGTTTTTCAAATGAGAAGAGATCCGTAAACTCAAATAGCGGGATGGGATTTCAGTAACTTCAAGCAGAATTGTCAACGATACAAATGGATGAATGGTTTATAATATTTTTATAATTATTAAGTAATTGAAATTTTTTTACATTATAATGTTTAAGTCAAGATTGAATCGATCGGTCGATTGGCTTGTTTGAAATAATATAATTGTTCTGAGTTTCAACGAGTGTTTTGAGGCTTGCCCCTCGTCCAATTCTCAAATTAGGTCGAGTAAATATATGCAATAAAAATACGGGATGAAAAATTATTAATAAATTCAGTTAATGCGGCGTGAAGTTGATGAGACGAGCGGACGATTGCGCGTGGTTTTATTTTTTAACAAAAGCTCGATCGAAGTGTTATCGCGCGGATGACAGGCTCGGCTAGATGATCAACAACGTGTATATCACATACACGCCGGTATTAATAAAGTCGTGAAAACGTGAATAAGATGTCAGCCACGGCGATATAAATAAATGGCGGGCGGCAATAATAATGGGAGCGAAGCGTAAAGCGGGAATCGATGCAAAAACCGTGGGGTGGAGTTCGCGTACTGGCGGCCTCGTGCCTCCTATATACGGGAGTTTTGCCGGGTCGGGGACTCGCGAAAATGCAAGATTTGTGAAACCGAGGACGGATTTGGCCCTGCCACGACACACATTATTTTTGCTCGATAATTGTATCCCGAAATATAAAAACCGATGAAAAATGTAACAGATCTGTAAAGTAGTAAATCTTTCGTAAAAAGCATTTGCCAGTTTCGGGTCAAAATGTAGTGTATTTTTCGTTATCTCTATAGAGATACGAAAGATTTACTACTTTTTAAATCTATTTTCTTATCGTAAAAAAATGTCGGTCCACAACAGTTTTCTAGTCTCCAGCGATTGAAAATAAAGCGCTTTTCACAGATTATGTTTCCGAGAAATAAATAAAATCTTTTTTTCATTTAATTCCAAATGGATTTTAATAGAATTTTATTATTAAAATGAAAGAATCTACGGATCACAAAGAGCACAATTAATATAAAACAGTCTAAATATTTAAATAAATAATTATAAAAAGTAAATTGTACTATATAGCATATAAAAATAAAACATAAAGTGTAGTGATCGTGGTCGCAGAGAGTTGTGTGTCTGTTTTCGGTGCCAAAAATTCGGGTTCAAATCCGACTAGGATATATAGAAATAACAGATATATAGAAACAACAGATTTTGATTCGATCGCTACCTCTCGGAAGGAAGCGGTAATCCATCGAGAGTATATCTTGCCATGAAAACCCCTCTAAATTATAGGCCGTTCGGAACCGGCATTAAGACTGTAGGTCCCGTATAACTGTATAAATCGTAAATAACGCACACCGTAGAAATACGATGAGGGGTCACCACGCTTCTGACAAGAGGCAAAGGACTAAAAAATGACGATAAACATATAAAGATTAGTGATAAACGATCTCTATGATCCAAAAAAATGTACTTCTGATAAACGAAACTAGTCCACTGATTATAAATTTTTTTTTTATTATATAGTGAACGTACGGATTAGCTTACAACTTGATTAATTTTCTCTATTTTTTATTTCATGGGCATCTGTTTGGTTTCCTTAAAGGCTCGAAAGCATCTTGCATAAATACCCTTTTTGCACGCTTCGGTCGGTGAACGCGCGCTTTCCCTCTTCATTTGTCCCTCTATCGCTCCGCCGTGGATCCCGCTGACCTGAGAGAGGCACGGCTCTCTTCCACGTAGATCCTTTTTTCGCAGGTCGCGGTTCGCGCTAGAAAAATCTCGCGGAACGAGTCGCCACCCCGCCGTCGCCGCCGTCGTCCCCGACGACGGCAGCGGGGACTTATTCGCGGGCCCGAGAGGCCGCGATGCACGAGCGTGAGACCGGGACCCGGGCTCGTAATAAGACCCGCCGGCCAGTTTTTTTCCGGCTCCTCTCTCTCTCTCTTTCTCTCCGTCCCTCCGCAAGTCTTTCTCTCTTCACCTACTTCACGGCCTCTTTCTTCGGTTTTACCCTGCGCTCTCCTCTCTCTCTTTCCCTCCTTTCCTCCCCCTTCTCGCCTCTCCTCTTCAACGGCGGCACCGGTATTAATTTATACGCGGTACGTGTGTGCACGCCGCTTTTTCTCGCAGTTCCTCGAAATTTGCAAGAAACTAGTCGGACACTCTCCGGCGTCCCCCTCGCTCGTCGTCCGAGGAGGAGGAGGAGGCAAGCTCGCGCGATCGTGCCGGCACGGCGAAGACGAGGATCGCGGGTGATCGCGAATCGAGGGTAGTTACGATTATTGACAGGCTGAATTAACTCTTTCTCTAATTTATGGTATCCAACATTTACGGTATGGTTATTAATAATGATAATCATCATAATGTAAAAATATACAAGAAATATGTGATAAAATGTGGATGTTATATAAAAGGATATACTTCCGCAAGAGTGCATTTTATCTCGAAAAAAAATTAAGTAACGGGGAAATCTGACATTTTCAGCTGTTCGCTGAAAAAGTGTCCGACCGGGATAGGATGATTAATAAATGTCGGCGATAAAACGGAGAGCACACACCGAACGGTTCTTGATTCTCTTCTTGTCGCTCTAGCGTATTGTTTCACGCCCTGGTTTTATTTTGCATTACTCGAGTTGAAGAGTAGAGAGCGCGTTTGCTAGCGTCATGTTAGCCTTTGAGATACGCGTTATCTCAAATAAACCGAATCAGGATCACGTTGCAGTGTTATCAAAGTCGGACGTCTTTGATGCGCGTATAACGTTGTGATATGTTTACGCCGCCCTTCACCCTAAATCCAATCACCCGCGGAATACCAACAGTCCCTGCATCCGTCTAATTACAACGTAATTGATTGTCGGGATCGTGAGGTGGGTGAGTGAGACAGAGAGAGAGAGGGGGGGGAGAGGGGCAGTTCATTATGGCCGATTATTAACCGTTGTCGGTGATAAAAAGCCAAAAATCGCCGATCGGTCGAAAGCGATCCTTTGCCGCTAATTGCGCCGCAGCCCTCCCTTAATGAATCACCTTAACGAATGCGGTGTGCGATTTCCAGTGGTGCAGACGTCCGTGCCGCAGAACGAGGCCGAGCTGCAGCTGTACAGAGTGATGCAGCGCGCCTCGCTGCTGGGATACTACGACACGCTCCTCGAAATGGGTAAGCATATAGGAGTTAAAACGCATTTACGTGCACGTTGGCTGAAACGACATTTTAATATGTGTTCTAAATCTCGGGAAAATAATTAGAATTCAGGATTAATATCGCAGTCCTATATTCTTAAACGCAGTTGTAATCTTGAATCCCTTCAATCTTTTGTGGAGAGATCGTAGAGAAAAAAAAAATTAAAATATTAAGAGAAATTGATTTTTAGATACTTTAAAAGCGTTTATTCCTTTATTGATGTAGTACATAATTGAACACTTTGATTGACGTATTTATTTTATCAGATTGAACGAACCTGAACACGTATTCTTTCTGCGATACTAATCTGACAGGGGCATTATAGAATATTGTTCAGAAATTCAAATCGCTCAATGCAATTTGTGTCGTTCTAAAAATTCTTGGGAATTTTTTAGTGTATCCATTTTCCATAAATTGTAAATTCTTTGAATCGATTTTGAATCTTTTTAACAATATTAATGAAGAAAACCGTTTTTTATCGCAACTCATTAAAGTTTATTATTGAAAGCAACTGAAGAACATGATTTTATATATAATCAATTAGTTCGTTAAAACAAATTTTTAATTTTTAAAGGTTTCCTCATTTTAAACCGCTTATAATTAAAAAACTGTGATTGTAAATGATTACAAACTCCGATGTTTCCACAAGAAGAAAAGCGATTCGGAATTAGAATTTATTCAGTT